TGGTCTATTTTCACGATATTGATAACACGCGTTCACAAGTGTGGGTTTGAGCTTCTCTAACTCCTGTGAGGAGGACGGAACGAGACCGGATAGTTGATCAAATAGGCTCTCAAATTCAACCTCCATATCCAATTGTTTGGTTTTACTGGTTGGACAGCAAAATTTTGGTCCTAGCGACAAAACCTCAAGTAATGTCTTATCCAGACTTACAGACGACAAGTTATGGACCAATCTTTTCGGATCTGAAGGGAACTCACCAGCCGGTTTTCTCGGGTTGACGCGTTTCCGTAGTTTGGCACCCACCTGCTCGACTTGCCTGTCAACTATCGACTGAACATAAGCAACGAACTTATTCCTTTCTTCTGGGGTCAACTCGTCCAGCACTTGACACGATTTCACAAAATGACGCTCCATTTCTGGCACGCGACTTGATATGGTATCTCTCTCGTTAAGCGCTTGGCGACGCAAAGACACAGTGGTGATGTTAATCCGATTTCTCCTCAGAATAGTTTGATATTGTTTGGGATATTGTGAATTAGATATGCACTCATCGATAAACTGAACACGAGCCTTTGCCAGGGCCAGTTTCTTACGAAACTTAACGTATCCGTTTAGTTCACGAAGTACGGCTGGGTCTTTGACCTGTTTCAAATGTACGAAGAATCCCACAGAACACATTGAGAACAAAACAGCGTAGTGAACAAGCTCGTTTTCAGTTATTCGTACTCATACCAATACATAACATTAAATATGACTCAAACCAACAAAGGGGATGATCATCCAAATCTGTCTGTGCGCGTGTGTGTGTATGTATGTGAAATTGATCACAGCGAAGAATGTTCGAGTGGTTGCACACGTGTTCGGGAACAAGACGTGGGCCATGGAAGTTTAAGTGCTTGCACAAATTGTTTCTGAGCGCACAGGGAAGGATTGTAGAGTCGAATGACGGTTCATGCAACCGATGATATTGGTAACACATCTGGTTAACTAAGGACCAACATTCTACGCATGACTAGGTCGTGACGGTCACATGGTTCGGAGCTGAGTCGCTGGGGTGGGGGTGGTCTATCGAGTCTATCGAGTGCCCCCCAATCCCCACAACACACACCTGCTTGCACACACTGGCCACCGCAGAGGCGATTAGCATTTATCTTTTCGCACCTGCTCTGTGTACACAGAAGAAATTCGTTCAAGCCCTCCAATTACCCTGGCCGCAAGTGGACCATCCCCACCCTAGTGACTCAGCTCCGAACCATGTGACCGTCACGACCTAGTCATGCGGACCGACATGTCGATCCAACTCCATCTCCCCCCTCCCACAGACTATGTCCAATCCGAATGACCCTTGACCGTATAGGCACAACCCTCTCACATAGGATTTGTAAAGACTTGAGAATGTATCATAGAAAACAATTGTTTGTCTCTGAAAATATATATATGAGCGGCAACAACCGCGAAACCGGTCGTGTGCTTCCGGGGAATTTTGTCCACACGTTAACATGCTACTTACTATCAATATATATATATATATATATATAGTCTACTTTTGAGCTTGACGGAGAGGTGTACCATCTGTCTTCATACAAGCAATGCGTCTTTTAATTTTCAGGTATTCACATTTCATCGCAAGTATCCTAGTACATAGCGCAACATGCAGAATAGGAACCAGATAATGAATTGACAGAATGCGTAAAACAAGCCTTCTATATTTTGAAGCACAAAATTCAGCAACTAATCCACCACTGACTGCAACTTTAGGCCATATATTCCACATGGATTCCAATCAAGAATGCTGTGGAATTCCTTTCGGTAATCACATCTTGTAACTGAGCAGAGATACGAGCATGGAAAGGTTTATTGAACGAGTCACTCTTTTGTCTTGCTTGTTTGTGCCTTACCCGTCAGCTATTCTATGGTTTACTTTTGTCCAATCGAACGAACATTTTGACTTCTGGTACTCACAGTACTTGACCGATCTTACACTGACTACCTTTCCACCAGGACAATCGAATTCGCCCATCAAATCAGGAAGTGATGGTCAAACTGAAACCGGCTTTCATCAAGCCCCACGACATCATTGCTGCAGCCAAGGCGAACATTCTATCCGTTGGTGTGTCAGAATGCCTTTTGATTTCAACTGAACTAGCAAAATGGTTGGATTTGGTACCGAAGCTTGTACTACACGATCACGTCTACTTCAGTCAAGATCATAGATATCAGTTAATTGTGAGACCCACTTATATGACTCCATTCTGAGCATTCCTATACTTAAACACTGTACATCCACAGACTATGTCAAATATCAGCTCGGATCATAGAACGTGATCTGTTGTAGCTAGATGTTCGGTTATTCACGAAGTTGTTAGTTGGAGTAAAATATTCATCAGAACTGCGGTTTTCAGCATGAATTCCAAATCATTATTGCTTCGTTGTATGTTTGCAAACGTTAGTGAAAAAGCTTCAGAACAGGTGCGCATAATTCACAATGAGTTCAGTTCAGTCCGCTAGTCACGCACCATGTGGACTGGTCGACCCTCACGATCAAACCTTTAACTGGCCTAATGTGCATTACATACACTGTAGTTCCATTCAGAGTATACGTCTCAATCATTGTAACCTACTGAGCCACGTAACAATGACTTATCTTTGAGCCAATTCATAATATTCGAAGGGGCTTACTTGTGGTGGGATCATCAATTTGGTTTTAGTTTCCATGGGAAATACTCAGCAGTAAAACGTACCAATCAACGGGTGAAGAGAAATTCGAGTGTTTCTGGTTATTATCGCAAATCAAATAACAAGAGTTCATATTACGACCATAGAGACTAACATTACACATCTCTCATGCTGTGTTTTATGAACGTTCTTACCGTGTGATGTTTCACATGAACTGAAAAGAAAAAATTGTAAATGAGTCTAAACCAGTGACCATTCATATAGGCCATGTAAGTTCCATGTTCATGATCTATTATTCCCCAAGTGTTTATTATTATTTTGTTAGCAACTTCCGTTTTTTGATCACTCTACTCTAAATCAACGGACTCTGTCCGGAAAATGTTGATGTATTTCAGACTCACGAAGCATTTTCGCTGTCAAATATTAGACAACCTCAAAGCACTTGATTGCAACTTATTCCCTAAATCCTATCTCGGACGATCAGAATGAGCTGGTGCAATACCACTGTATAAATTGAACGACTGCGTGGTAGTCTAAATTTTGGTCATCCATTTGGAGTTACTAGTGTGAGCCTGCTCACGACCACGGGGAACCAGCTTCACACAGATGGTGGACGTTTGCAATTGGTTGCGGCCTGTGGTGCTGACGACCTGGGACGTACCATGTTCACTTGAAGCCTGCTGATCACCACCTGATCAGTTCGATCACTCTCAAATGAAGCTGGAGTTTTGTAGTCTCTGAGTGGTTGGGTTTCCAAGCATTCAGATTGTCTCAACCCAGGTTCCCGAAGTATTTGAGAAGCAGAATCGACATGTGTGGGACTTGGAACAATATCTGTATCAGCGGAAACATTAGGAACCTGGTAATGGATTTGCTTCACATATCTCCGGTGCACCAACGCAACGTCCATGTCCCAGCGCATTTCCAACCGCTGGTCGTAAATCATTTCCACTTTAGTATGAGATATCAGCAGATTCAATGCTTCTTCGATACGAACGGAGTGATCGACATCTGATTTATATTGCTGAACTGGAACGTGTGATGCCATGGGCTGTATTTATGTATTGAAGCAAGATATTGTCCACAACTCATTCAAGCTCTTGAGTATTTGACGGATTAATTGACGGTGAACGGACTTGATTCGAGGCGAGAAATGTGGATTCACGTTGTCATTTTTTGATCGATTATCAGTATTGTTCTGCATATTCGGTTTCATAAGTGGACTGATGGTTTCAACTAAAACAGCTCGTCAAGAATCTGTTCCACTGTGTTTAATACATGGGAAAGAACATAGACATGAATCAAACAGTTTCTGGTACTGTGATCCAACCTGGTTATCCAAGTCACAGTGAGTTTGTAATAATACGAACGACTTCATAGCGGCCTCTTCACTTCCTCGCAAATCCTAATAAGTCACACAGAATGAAGCTAACCGAATGAATACTAATTCTCTTTGAAAGTTAAAATTCAGGTGTCGTGCAACACTGTTTGATGATTTTACAATCAAAAGATTCAAATATCGACACCGTGACTTGAATTAGGATCATGAAAGGTGTAATGTTATAGTCTACTGCACCAGTTACCGGTCTTTTGAAACTTGTTCCTTTCCAGTTCTGTGAGTTTATGTGGCTGTTCATTTCGAAAGACCGTAAAAGATCTATGGAAAAAACACAATGAGAGTAGAATCTACTTCTGATCAAATTGTTCAAAAATAACCGCATTGTCTCGAATCACTGCTCAGCGATTCAAATTTCACTCCCCTCTTTGTCAATTCTTTTCCGTTATCCACGACCAAAGCTATCCGTAACTAATTGTGATTAGCTTGGAGCTCGAACAGCCGTTGAGTCGTTGATCTTGGGTATGATGGCATTTAAATAGCTATAACATCTTTCAGATGCGGATGGAGGTTCTTGATTTGTTTCGGTGGCCACAACTGTTACCGTAGTTTCTGATGTCATTGGACTTTTAATTGGTAAGTTCCAGAAGACGGTCAACTCCGTACGGTCTTTCACAAACGGAATCAATATGAACGTGGACGTCAAAAACCATGTGACTTGGCGAAATCCATCTTGTGCTCCTATTGAGAAGGATACATTTTACTATTTTCATTTGCGTCAAAGGTCTTATTTTTTATACATTTTCACTAGTACCCATCCAATTTCTTGCCCAAAAAGTGAGCAATTCGGATAGCATGTGATATTTTATTTTCGAGACAACATGATTTAGCTACGATGATAACAAGTGGAACTGGATCAGTTGCATATGTCAACGAACTAAATAAGAGGTTTCCACTGGATTCTGAGTTGTTCTGCGATACGTTTGAGTTAATCTTTGATCACCGGATCCTGAAAGGAATTGCAGAAGAGATGATGCACCCAGTTTTTAAAATTCTTCGGCAATGAAAATGTAGCTAAACACGGGAATTCGTTGAGGAGAAAATGGTTTTGGTGGATGCTGATAAAACATGAATTCGTGTTTTACCCCGAATTAATAACGAATATGAACTTAATAGCCATTGATGTCGGTTTTAGTACCTGTATTGTACGCGTTCTTTGGAACATGAAAGCAAATATTATTGCTGTTTACTGAGGTGCTGACTGACAGTATATTCATTTTAATTCCCGATTACATGTCAGTGCAAACCATATTTTCAGGATTCTAAAGATTAGGTAGAGTGATGATAGTGCATGGAGCATCTCATCGTATGATGTGTTTTACAAGATGGTTGACAGTCAAGAACCTGACCACTGTAAATGTAGAATCTGCTGAATCTAATGGAGAATGGCCACGGAGTTTTGTGAAGAAATGTTGCCTCTTCTTTCCTTCGTCCAGACAGCTGTTGAAAATGTGCACCATAGAAACACAATCAGAATTTGCGTTAGGCTTCACATATTTTAACATAGAACATCCGACAATCGCTGTGAGACCGCAGAACAAATGAACCACAGAAATTGAAAAATGGAATAAATCTGTTCACATTTAGTGTGGAGCGATTTATTCCAGCAACACGGATTAGGTATTAAATTCAATATCCTGCTTCAGCAGTTCTAATGCAGACACCGTTGAAATTCGAATGAAATGTTTAGTTTTTGGAATTTATACTACCTTAACAAAAAGCGGTACAACATGATACATACTTTTATATCAGTTTGAAGAAAGTGCCTGAAAGTTATTCGCCAACATTTGAAAAGCTCCCCATCAGGGCTTTTATGGGGTACTTGTTTTGATTGGACTTCTGAAATTTCCACAGGTTTGCTATTGTTAATGCATACACCAAACGAATGAATGGATATACCCAAGACAGTAGGATTAAAACTCCCATGGAAGGTACCCATCCGAGGCATTACATGGCAGCAAATTATTTCTCCAAGAAGAATTTAAAATCGGATGGGGACTGGAAGAATGTTACTTTTCAACCCAGTGAGGTCTTCATTGTTCATAGTGTCATAGGAAATACCTCACCAACTAAGGTAGCAATGAGTTATTCCACTTCATTTCAACTGATGTATTGAGTTTCAAAACGTAAAAGTCACTGAATGAATGTGTTTTGGAAATTCCTTCCCATGGATAACATTTTAACGAGTCCTTAGTCTCGCTATAGAGCACGGGATATAAATTAAAAGTCGAAACAATTCACAATGAAATTTGAATTTCTTCGCAATCGTATCAAGTTATTAACCTCATTGGGCGTATAATGCTGGCTTTTGATCTGGTAAAAGATTAAGCAGACTACTTATTCCTAACTGTCATTGTTATGGCTTGTAATAGTTGACACATAAATACTCTATGAGGACATATTTCGTGCTCTTTGACTTATTATAATTCAAACCCATAAAACATCATTACACAAGTCGATTGTGTTGGAGTTTTCCCACCGCCTTTTAGAGTAACTTATTTTACTCATGAATAATGGGAAGAAACACTTGTTCTTTCATGGGAAGGTTCTGAGCAAACTATTTTACAGAAAGATGTACAAAATGTGCCGTCATAGCCTTATCAAATTCATATTTCCTAGCATGATGAAAGATTCCTGTCATGAATGTAAATTTGTCCATCGCCACAAGAATGAAAAACGGACCGTGTTTGTATGATCTTGATTTCAAGGTCACGTAATCTAAGTAGTCAATAGCTTTTTCAAGTGAGTTTACCGTGAATCGCGAAATAACTGACAAAATACCACATGCAAAAGTACTTTTCCAAAATGTTATTTTTACTTCTGTTTATATTTCAGTTAATCAGAAAGAAAAAGTACTACCCCTGGTAGGATCAGTACTTATGCCCGAAGTGTGAAAACCAGATGGGATGAATTTTATTTACATGACTTCAAATAATACTCATAATCAGCTACTCAGCAAATTTTGTTTCTCAGGCATCAATGAAGCAGAGCATGTCAACCAAGGCCATACAATGTCGGTTCAGTTCAGAATGGTACAGAGCCAATTTGAACAATATTCAACTGTATAGAATTTTATATTCGCAACCTTTAAAAGGCATTGTGTTTTAAAATAAATTACGGAAGTAAAGCTCAAAATGAATAGAAAATACTTTTACTTACAAATTTCGACAGAACCCTGTAGGTAATTCACACTCTGCACACGGTTATTCGAGGAACTCATAGGTCAAAACGGTCTGTCTACAAATCACTGTGACATGGTCAGCCTGCCACGATTGAGTGTCTCAGACTACACGAAACCCGGAGGAATTTAGTAGTATTTAGTGCTTTGTAAAACAAACTTCTGTGTATTGGTCACTTTTGTGCATTTTATTAGGATTTCAGTAATTGTGCTTCTGTGGTGTGACCTACAAAAGGACCGCCTGAACAGCGGCCTTTGCCTATCGTCATTCACCCTTTTGTGAATCACATAGCTTTCCACTTTTTGAAGTGCTTACTGGATGGCGTCACCGTGCTGAGCTTCACACTCGAACTTTTCTGAATGTCATTGGCATATTCACTTCTAAGCACCGTATCATGTGTGTCCAATTTATAAATTAAGTAAATATGCTTTCCTGAGGATTTCAGAGCACCAAATTAGGCCTCACTGATTTAGAACGGTCAAGATTAAAATCCACAGTTCGTCTGGTTTAAATATTCACGATTACAATAGAAGTTCAGTTCTAAGGAAGCACCACCAATACCACTCACGTCACTGTAAATTCCAACATCCTGTTGTGTTTCGTACGATCCCATCCCGGTCTGTTCAACTGTTTGATCCAAGACACTTCCCATGTGCGTCATGATGCGTTTGATTCGCGCGAAACTGATTCAAGTGGAGGAAGATTTGGGGAATTAAGGGAACAACTCATTTTACTTTAAATGCCAGAACAAATGGATGAGCTTTGACTGAAACAGAATTCTTGATTATCGTTAAATTATCTCCGAGCTAAGTTGCTCATATAGATTCAAACATAAATATAGCGAACAAGAATTCAAATGGAAAGCGGTCGGAATCCCTGCAGTTGCATTCAATCATCTAAGTGCTAAATGATTTCCTGTTCGTGAAAAACTCATTGATGTCTCTCATCCAAAGTGAATAGGAATTCATACATTCTGAACATCTACTCAGTTAGACTTTGTAAGAGAATATCATAATTCGCTTGTGGGAGATTTTACGGCGAGTTTTGTTTTCATTGATATCCGAAGAAATGGCCATCTATTCACATTGATTGGATGTTGCGAACAGGAAATTGTAAGGATATGGGCTGCCTCATTATCGATGGACAGCCAAGTCACGTTTACAGTCACCACTTGTGCGATATCAACCCTGAGGCTTGGGACAACTGAATCTCAAGTGACGGGATAGCTGATCGATGTTGTGGACCGATAGAATTGGAGAATAATTCTGTCAGCAGTGTTTAGGCCTCGAGGCTTGGTCACCCACAATATGCCTGTGTGCACCGACTGAGCACACGGACCAACATCCTACATACTCGTTGTTGTTCACTAAGGAAACGCGATGATTCGGAGACAGAAGAGAAATTTCGAAAACGTGATATCAGAGAAATTTGAGGAACCCCACACAAATCTGCAAATGGATATATCAAGAACACTGGTATTGTGTTTGGTTGAAGTCACGCACACTACGCGGACAACTGACCAACATTCTTCTCACGAATGGACGTACGCTGATTTGCCTTGATCTCTAATCCTGCTTTAGCGCCAGCAGTATTGACTTATCCATTTAGCTATGTACTGATTGGGCATACTCTGTTTCGCGTGAGAGCACATGTAGTTTAGCTCTTTATGCCCACTCACTTGGTTGCTTGCAGCTTACTCGCCGGCTACAGCCGGGTTTTGTGTTTACGCTCGTACAAATAAATGCAAAGCCACCACTACGTGTTCTACTACTAACTTCGGACACAACAACTGGCAATACCACTTCCGGCGCCGCTGCACATGACAGGTCAAAATCCATTGTTTGAAGAATGGAGTTTATGAGAACAGAAATATCAAGAGTTTGCTGTCTTCATTATGTTATATTGGGAATCCAAAGAGTGTCAAATAGCAATGCTCCGATACTGTCTGGGGGTGAAACCAGGAGTATTTTGTTCACCCTCGATTTTAATGAGATTGAGGACCGAGAAGACCCGTGTATCAGTGCTGCAGAAAATGGACAGCTATTGTTTGATTCAGTCGAATGAAGCGAACACCACCGTCACCGGGACTACTGAGGATTTACACCCGAAATCGAATATTACAGATGCCCCCGTGGGAGATTGCGGTAACGACACGGATGCAGTGATTCCTGAGTCATTTGAACAAGAGTCGAGTAGTTACATTCGAGAAGCATACACAGCAATACGATTATCCACAGCGGCCTCCATGTTGTTGAGTACGAAATGAGCTCAGTAACTATCAGAACGAAAAAAACGGAGATAATATGGGGTCAGAAAGTTCCAGGCATATCATTTCGATGAAGGGAGCTAAAAACCCAACGTATTTTGACACCAGTTGTAAGAGGCGCAACTAAATAAGACAAATAATCGAAGAAACAGAAGGGCTATATAAAAGGACTGAAAAATTGCACATGAGCCCGGAAAGACTGGAAGTGGTCGTTTTTATTAAAGAAGGAAGGATGTGAGGGTATGGGTTAGCTCATTGTTGATCGGCAACAGTCAGCAGGTGTGCCGTGCCACCCCCAAGGTCATGGTCCCTACAAATGGAAGACCCATCACAATCTGATGAATTTGTCAAAAGTTTTGCAAGTACTGTTTAAACTGTGTATCAAAACCGAGTTTTTGTCTGATTGCATAAAATATCATGTGCCATGTGATATGTGATGTACTATTGTTTTATATTCGCTAATACAGCGTTTTCGGAAAGTTTAACGATTACTGGACATTTCGGTTACCATGAATAACCATGTTAAAGACCAGTTTACTATAGAATTTGATTGGATAAGTGTTACACTCACTCCTTTTTTAGTTTAGCAAAAGCAGCCTTCAGTTCTTCTGTGTGGGGTTTCTGTAAAATGAGACACGGGAAGAGAAGAAAATTGAGTTATTCATCTGATATTCCATGAACTTAAATGACGAAAGAGACTTTGTACACATTATAATAATGTAGTTGTCTACCCAGTTGCATTCCACAAAACATTTTTCAGGTCATACCTTTGAGGCTTGTGAATAAATTCTGATTTTTGAGTCGACATTGGTCGATTCATCTTTCAGTGAGTTAGCCAAGTTGGCCATTTCTCCTCCATTTCTATCAGTTTGATGATGAACGATCTCATCTATTACGGAACAAATTGGTCCCTCGGGCCTGACAGCATCACAATCAAAATAGAATCACACAGGTTTTATGATCAAAAGAGAAATTGGTAACACCGTTACATATACAATTAAAAAGGGTTTATGCGAATTTTAATGTCAGTATGCTTGGGCAGGCTTCATATTTGCTTTTGACCATTCGGTTTTTTAAACGCGAATGAGATTATGCTACCGATATCCTGATAATAAAAAAGCTTATCTTCACGATTTCGGACAGAGGAGGACAGTGGATAGCGAATATCACAAACGAACGTCACATGACCAATAATCGGGTCAAGATGCCGACAACTGTGCGGTTTCTCATCAAATCCGCGTCGCGTACACGCAAAGTTTAATTTGATCCAGGACAATTTCTTACTGTTGTTTCACTTACTCTTCTATTGAATGTCAGGGGTGGTCGAATAATCCATTGCTTTACTTGCGCTTTCTTATACAGCCACCGTGGTAGCTTGGATTCCAATTGATCTAACCAGTAGACTTGTTGGGCAATCAGTTGATTTGTGGCAGATCGTTGAATTTGATCAATATCTCCCACTGCAAGACCGATCTGAGAGACAAACCCGCAACAATTCAGAGCGAATCATGGACAGGTGGATAGTTTCACATTAGTGTCAGAGGCGAACTTTACTATCGAACGAATAAAAAGCATTTTGACAATAACTCAATCTTATCATGCATCAACAAATTAATTGTCGTGGATGTCGTATTTTTTCATGGTACGTTTGGTGAAGTTTAGAATTTAATCCATCTCCAAGAACGAAAGAGAATTGTCCATCCAGATTCACCATGTATTCATTGAACTAAAATGGAGCCGTGGAGGGGAGCGTACCACGAACATGGGCTCATTTGTATGCTGTTCTCAATCACAAAAGCGTTTGCTTGATTCATCAACAAACTGTGTTGGAAATGTTATCAACTGTACATTTACTTAGCTGAAGCATACACATGTGATGACGTATTCCGAGACCCCTCCCTCCAGAGAAAATGCCCATTGGCTTAGACGATCACACAACGGTCCATCCCCATGATTGACTTTTCATCAAAGAATTTCGAAAATCATTGTGGTAAACGAGGAAACCAGGCGGCCAGCAAATCGTGAGTCAAAATCGGTCATTCGAGCATCAACAGAACCAATCACCGAAAACAACACCTCTCATTTGCATCTCAGCTGTCTTTTCCATTTAAAGATAGCCTGTTTTCGGTCGGAACGTGCGATGTTGTGGTTTTTATGCTTTGCTCCGTCTTATCAAGCCCAGTTTATGAGAGGCGATCACTTTTATTGTCATCCCATGGTCGCCCATCATTGGTCCATATGCATTTAACCAATTACCTATTAGGTCAGTATTATATAGACTCCATCACATAATGAGTGTCAAAATTACTAACCTGACTTAATGTCTTGTATGGGTGGTAATCCGTTTGCCTTGTTTCGGGCTGTATCAAAAGACGGTGTTACTGAGTTATCGAAGGATTGAGCTCCGGGGATTTTACAGTGTAAGTGATCCGTCGTAAAAGTGTAACTTGACAACTTTTGAAAATAAATAATGGGAGATCAGAGTTTTACATAATATGACTCATCATGCAATGTGAACAGTCAAACTATGAAAGACTTGTATAGCTGTTACATTCTTGCTGGGAATTTTTGGCAGTATAGTTTATAAATCCAATAAATCGTTGACGGCTCTTCCGGATAGTATTGTGGTTAAGGTGTTCTACTCCCGATCGTTCACTCCGAGTCCCAGTGTCTTTGGAACTCGATGGATGTGCACCGCTGATGATTCCCAACAAGGCAGATGCAACAGCTGTACAGGGCTTCCACGGTTTTCAATGATGATTCGAAAGCTGACGATTTTTCTAAGCTCATGCAGTCATTTGTGGACATGTGAAGGTGATGGTAACTGCATGTCACCGTCTAGTTTAGAGTTCAGAATACAACGACGAATAGCTGAGATTTCATGATGGTAAATGCCGATTGGGTAAGAAGGAGTTGTAGAAACTTGAAGTGTGGTACGGAAATCAAAACATGCATCTTTCTGCTTTAACTATTCCAGTAAGCCTGTTGTGATCGAAATATGCTAGATCAAAAGATTTTCCGATGTCATATGCAAGTTTGGGTCTGAATGACTGGTTACATTTGGTATCCATCTTAGTTTTGTTGATAATTTATATACCAAATTATTAATATTGTAAGATCCAACTGTTCCAGGCTTTATCCTAATTTATACGATATGAATCGGTTAGCATACGCATTGACTCGTGCACATTTGTTCCTCTAGTCGCGAGACACATGATCAGTGTGTGGGGCATCTTAAATGCACTAAACCTGTAATTTGGCTAGGTTATGTTTCAAAATAGTTAGTTTTAATTATATTGTATACCTCGACGCATGGACCGAATCTATGCTGATTCAATGATGGTTATTATATTAAGAGTTTTAAGTATCGTGAATAAACCAATATTACTCTGCCTTTTGCCGTAAAGTACTTGAGGGAATGGCACAAACTGACTTGCTTGCCTATCTTCATCTAGAAAGTGATACATTATCCAATTTGCTCAAACATTCGAATTTGCCCACATATACTACTAACTAGTGCACCATTCTAGCATCTTGCTTACATCTGAGGTCATCGTTCAGACGGTTGTTCGCTTCAGGGAATGCTGTTTGGAGCCATGGTAGGACATCCAATAACCTCGTCAATGATCATCAAAACCAATATCAATAACGGCCACATGATCAGGTTGGTTGGTTTGTGGCCAAATGATAAAATGAATATAATTAATGGAATAATGTATCCAATACGTCTTTCTCTCTCTACGAATCAATTAAAAACTTGTGAATGCATACTTTGTGAACGAGGTGCTTCATCAGGAAAAATATCAGTAGAAATTTCAATCAACACACAACCATGAAGAAGGCCGCCTACCCATAAGGGGAAACAACGTAACCGATGTGTTAAATAAGTTAAATGACAAGGCAATCAAAACTAGAGAACTCAGCACGGAACCCCGCGCTTTGTTCACACCTTGACCAGTTTTCCTCATTAAACCGAAAGACAGAATATCCGAGGCTTCGAACGTTCATCGTGTCTCAGTTCACTTGCACCTGGGAGTCGTTTTACTTGGACTGAATTATTAGAAGTCTTTCTGAATGCTTAAAGAAACATCATTCATGAATTTTGAACCAACGCCCGGTTGGGAGTAGACAAATGGCAATTATCATCATTTCGAATAAATTGGGTCATTCACTCGAGGCCAAGTGGGATCGCTCAGTTTACCCACCGTCAAAGACGGGGTAACAAGAAATGAATGTTAGATGAATATTAGCTATCACAGAGATACTCCTGATCCATCTGAAATTCCCTCTCAGTGTACTCAGAAACTTCATTAGATCCTTGATCCCACCCTGAGGATTGACATATGACGCTGCGATATCACCACCAACAATGTGCCACTGGCACGACAACTGGCATAACAAATCTGTGGTGGCACTATCACTGTGGTGATGGGCAACCTTAGGCTGACCTCACCATGATTATCTATTTTCATACTTTTCCATCAACTCAACTCTCAAACCCAGAAAAACATGTTGTATCTAGACCGTCGTGATGCAAGTAAAACAATTTCAATTGTTATCATGTGTTCTACTGTTTTAACCGGGTAACTACAATTACAATCCGTGTAAGTCAGTAGGCGACCAGAGCTACCGCTTGCCGGGAAATACATGGATCGGCGAACTCTTACATATGAAAAAACAAAGTCACAATTCGTTGTTCGGATAGAACCTTTATGCTCATAATGGCGTTAGAATTGGCAAATTGATCCACTGGTTTGCCTTACCATTAGGTTCATCAGTGATATAGGCATTGTAAAAACGAATGCCGCGTAGAATGCAATCGTTAGCTTGACTGTATAAATTTTGGCAGGGAACCCATCCAAATAGGGCCTGGTGATCACCTCTGTATGCTCATATTCACCAAGCATCATCATCAATGTTTGAAAGAGTGCCATATTCACATTTCCAAATGCTCCAACTGGAAGCTGCAACTCTGGCCCACTTCGGATCTCCGCCTCAGAACGATTCAAGTGTTCGTATCCGATGAAACAATAGGCCAATCGATTTTTCGTCTCTCTTGGATAGCGTAAGTATTCCTTTCAGAAAATAAATATCAATCGGAATAGAAATTTGAGTGAACATTTTAAATATCGTTCCAAAACATCTCACCATCTGGATGTGGTAGATCTGTTGAATTCAGGACTACTTGATTCACATTTAGGATTTCCCTCGACTTCTTTCCCTCCCCCCCCCTCTCTCATGAAATCTCGCCTGCTTTCTGTTAGATTTCCCTAACAATGTTAGCGCTGCATTTACCATCTGATTCAACAACATATCAGATATTGACACCGGGTTTGTTCTGACCAGTTCATTTCCATCCAAACCCCTTAGCCCTTTCTTGCACATAGAAGTTTTCAATGATTTTCTCATCTAAGAGGTTAATTAAATCATAACACTGTACCGAAAGGTGAAACTTTATCGAATTTTATATTGGTCAGATAAGCTCTAAAACTCCACATTTGTAAATGGTTCATTTTGACAACTATTTTCAAATAGACTGAAACTGAGAATTCAGAAATCAGTATAATGGAGCCCACTGGTAAGCCTATGAATAAGGAATTCTCCTTAAGTGGTTTTAGTTACTGATGAATAAATATTGATCATATCAGAATTATTTATTTTGGTGAAATGATTACCATGTGTCTGATTGACAGAAAGAGAGCAAAACCAAATGGAACACAGTTGGGAGATAATTAGTGAATAAGTTGCCATCCATTTGCTAAATCTCTGTGAATGTTTGGGGCACGCTGGAGTGAAACTTTCGGTTTATTTGGAACACATGACCTAGATATCAATGTCACATGAGTGTGGTTCGTTGAACATCTATTTCGACTTTTCTATATTGACGTGATGTTTACTGATAACCAGGAAATTCCATTAGTTTGTGAAAGAAACGAGAGATGAAATTGTGTAAGCCCATCGGGAATTTGAATATATGATCATGCTTTCCCGGAGTCCTTCTGTGAGTAACACCGTACTCTCACACTGTTCTTGCAAAAGATGGTGTCATAACAATATGTGGTAGGAAAAAATCAACTAATTTGTCCTAGTTAATGTTGTTATTTGCACAGCTGCTGAGGAAGAAGAAGATCAATATAAGGACGGTGGAGAGCGAACATTTGTTTCCTGTCAAAGGGCAGTAGATGTCATTAGGATTGTTTAGTAATTTCCTAAAAAACTATTGCAAACAAAACTTGGAAAAATTAGTTTGTCCAAGCCTGCAGCACATCTAAAGCTCACTTTATGCACCCATCTAGGATGGTTACGTGTTGAACTGG